GCACTTGAAGTCAGTGTTGTGGTGGAATCTATTCTCTTACTTTCGGACATATACACTTGAAGTCAGTGTTGTGGTGGAATCTATTCTCTTACTTTCGGACATGTATGCTTGAAGTCAGTGTTGTGGTGGAATCTATTCTCTTACTTTCGGACATGTATGCTTGAAGTCAGTGTTGTGGTGGAATCTATTCTCTTACTTTCGGACATGTATGCTTGAAGTCAGTGTTGTGGTGGAATCTATTCTCTTACTTTCGGACATGTATGCTTGAAGTCAGTGTTGTGGTGGAATCTATTCTCTTACTTTCGGACATGTATGCTTGAAGTCAGTGTTGTGGTGGAATCTATTCTCTTACTTTCGGACATGTATGCTTGAAGTCAGTGTTGTGGTGGAATCTGTTCTCTTACTTTCGGACATGTATGCTTGAAGTCAGTGTTGTGGTGGAATCTATTCTCTTACTTTCGGACATGTATGCTTGAAGTCAGTGTTGTGGTGGAATCTATTCTCTTACTTTCGGACATGTATGCTTGAAGAAGTCAGTGTTGTGGTGGAATCTATTCTCTTACTTTCGGACATATACACTTGAAGTCAGTGTTGTGGTGGAATCTATTCTCTTACTTTCGGACATGTATGCTTGAAGTCAGTGTTGTGGTGGAATCTATTCTCTTACTTTCGGAAATGTATGCTTGAAGTCAGTGTTGTGGTGGAATCTATTCTCTTACTTTCGGACATGTATGCTTGAAGTCAGTGTTGTGGTGGAATCTATTCTCTTACTTTCGGACATGTACGCTTGAAGTCAGTGTTGTGGTGGAATCTATTCTCTTACTTTCGGACATGTATGCTTGAAGTCAGTGTTGTGGTGGAATCTATTCTCTTACTTTCGGACATGTATGCTTGAAGTCAGTGTTGTGGTGGAATCTATTCTCTTACTTTCGGACATGTATGCTTGAAGTCAGTGTTGTGGTGGAATCTATTCTCTTACTTTCGGACATATACACTTGAAGTCAGTGTTGTGGTGGAATCTATTCTCTTACTTTCGGACATGTATGCTTGAAGTCAGTGTTGTGGTGGAATCTATTCTCTTACTTTCGGACATGTATGCTTGAAGTCAGTGTTGTGGTGGAATCTATTCTCTTACTTTCGGACATATATGCTTGAAGTCAGTGTTGTGGTGGAATCTATTCTCTTACTTTCGGACATATATGCTTGAAGTCAGTGTTGTGGTGGAATCTATTCTCTTACTTTCGGACATGTATGCTTGAAGTCAGTGTTGTGGTGGAATCTATTCTCTTACTTTCGGACATGTATGCTTGAAGTCAGTGTTGTGGTGGAATCTATTCTCTTACTTTCGGACATGTATGCTTGAAGTCAGTGTTGTGGTGGAATCTATTCTCTTACTTTCGGACATGTATGCTTGAAGTCAGTGTTGTGGTGAAGCCTGTGCGGAAGTATTGGAGCACCTACAGTGAAAAGTAAACTTTCAGTTTCATCCACAGTCCACAGACTGTCTAATAAATAGAATATATTACCAACAGGCTAACGTCAAGTCATACATGACGGAACGTATCCAGATTGGGTCTATTTTGCATAGTCGTGGCCGCCATTTGGATTTTCATGTACTTTTGTTGATATATATCTTTTCTAAGCAGACAGATTCAATTCTGGGCCTAATTGTCAGTCTGAACATTCCATGCAGTAGAGCAATGTTGACGTCCCTCCCTTTCCCTTTACTTTACCCCATGTCGATCACAGAAACAAGACGATTTTTCATATTTAAAATATGTGTAGAGATACAGACGAGGGACAGATTTTAACCTTCGTCGTTCTCCCCGAGATTGTATTCTACAAAGTTCCGACGTTCATACAGTTGGCCCTCATTATATAATGTTGATACTTCAGTGAACTCCTACAAAGTGAAGGTCTGTTCAGAGACGAATGAAATGTACAGAGGTAGTGGAACATTGGCCATTTTAAGCAAGACAGATTAACTCGGTTTACTATTAAAATGTGATTATGTAACCATGATGCACCCCAGACACGTTTTTTCTGTGAAATAATATAACGACGAAGTACACTATGTGACACAGTACATTACGTTTAGTGAACTCGATACGGAGCCAGACGCCATAACATTGAGAACATGTTTGCATAATGTGGACATTTATGAATCACTACATAGTTTATAGTTTCAGAGCCTGCAGCTGTTCGCCTATGTCGCCTATGTCCACAGAGGAGAGGCTTTATGATATATGTTACCCTTCCTTGCGTGTGTATTATGTTTTATTGATATTCTGCAAAATGATTACACCGGGTGTTGCTTCAAGGGTAAGCATGATCTGCCTTACCGGCATTCTAACACCGCCGACTCGAAATTGTAATAAGAATTACACTAAATGAGAATCAAGAACATTATTCGGATATTTTTGTCTTTATTAGGTTTTTGTTTAGTTTTTTCCCCGACCGACCAACCCATGTTCAGAATTCGGTGGCTACGTGAAACATAAAAAATGATGCCCTAACATGATTTGAATAATGTGTCTGTTTAAAATGCATGGAAACGTAGATTGGAAAACTTTGAAAAAAAATAATGACAAATGAAAATATTATAATGAAATGTATGGTGTTACATCACTTCAATGTTTTTGATCAATGAAATCAATGATCATTTCTACAGTAGCGACCCTGTCCGACATGATCACTGAGGAGGTTATTCAAGCAGAGCCAATCATAACGAATTAAAGCATCTCTTTGAGAGGGAAAACATCAGTAGTAGTGTGGATGCATTTACTTGTTTTACGAGTTGACTTCACATGCTTGTTAGAATCTATGAGGAAACTTGTCGCTCCCCATTGTAATAAAGAAGTTATTCGTCGATAAGTGCTGTTTACATTCTTCAGGCTCATTTTTGGATACCCCAGACATGGTTTCGGCGTGTGTACGTTACCCGTGTTTAACAATGAAATAATCTACAGATAAGATATTATCTTAAAGTATCGGGGGACTGTAACCAGTGCTGGTTCTACTGCACTAAATCAGAATCACAAGCTCCCTGAGCGAGAACCGTTTGTAAACATCTGAAGATAGAAACATGTGACAGCTGAATTTGGATGAAATAGTGAAAGATTTTTATGTTTTTTAAAAGGACATCCATCCAGTAATTATAACTGGTACACCTTCCTGGTACACCTTCCTGGTACACCTTCCTGGTACACCTTCCAGGTACACCTTCGTGGTACACCTTCCTGGTACACCTTCCAGGTACACCTTCGTGGCATTCCTTCCTGGTACACCTTCCTGGCATACATTACTGGTACACCTTCCTGGTACACCTTCCTGGTACACCTTCCTGGTACACCTTCCTGGTACACCTTCCTGGCATTCCTTCCTGGTACATCTTCCTGGTACACCTTCGTGGTACACCTTCCAGGTACACCTTCCTGGTACACCTTCCTGGTACACCTTCCTGGTACACCTTCCTGGTACACCTTCCAGGTACACCTTCGTGATACACCTTCCTGGTACACCTTCCAGGTACATCTTCCTGGTACACCTTCCTGGCATTCTTTCCTGGTACACCTTCCTGGTACATCTTCCTGGTACACCTCCCTGGCATACATTACTGGTACACCTTCCTGGTATACATTACTGGTACACCTTCCTGGTACACCTTCCTGTCATACATTACTGGTACACCTTCCTGGTATACATTACTGGTACACCTTCCTGGTACACCTTCCTGTCATACATTACTGGTACACCTTCCAGGTATACATTACTGGTACACCTTCCAGGTACACCTTCCTGGTACAAATTCCTGGTACACCTTCCTGTCATACATTACTGGTACACCTTCCTGGTATACATTACTGGTACACCTTCCTGGTACACCTTCCTGTCATACAGTACTGGTACACCTTCCTGTCATACATTACTGGTACACCTTCCAGGTACACCTTCCTGGTACACCTTCCTGGTACACCTTCCTGGTACACCTTCCTGGCATACATTACTGGTACACCTTCCTGGTACACCTTCCTGGTACACCTTCTTGGTACACCTTCCTGGTACACCTTCCTGGTACACCTTCTTGGTACACCTTCCTGGTACACTTTCCTGGTACACCTTCCTGGTACACCTTCCTGGTACACCTTTCTGGTACACCTTCCTGGCACACCTTCCTGGTACACCTTCTTGGTACACCTTCCTGGCATTCCTTCCTGGTACACCTTCCTACGTTTGGCAGGTGCCACACCAAAGTCCAATTGGACCATCTTTAGATTGTCTTTAGCTATCTTTTTTATCTTTTCATGACTTCCACGAGTCCGTGTGGGTGGGGGTGGGGGTGGGGTGGGGTGGGGCTTGGAGGGTTGGGCAGAGGATGCTAGAGTTGAGATTGTAACTTGAAGACTGTTTCCTGGCACCAAATGTCTTGTAACGGTTCCACATTGAGGTGGACAACGGTGACTCCAGGTCGCCACAGTGTATTCCTATAGCTGTCCTACAGAAGTACCATCAAGATGTCTTCACAGCAACGAGCCATCCATTTTGAACACCCAGTGTGGGTACAAAAGGGAGCAGAACCACTTCTCTTCTCTTTGTTTAATGCCGCACTACGCAGTATTCCAGCTGTATGACTACTACAATAATCGAGACGGGACCAGACAATCATCAGCATCGGCCTACGCAATTGGGATAAGTTGACATGTGTCAGTCAAGTCAGTGAGCCTGACCTCCCGATCTCGGCGTAGTCGTAGTCGTCTCTTACGACAAGCATGGTTTGCTGAAGACCAGTTCTAACCCGGATCTTCACGGGTCCCAAGAACTTCCCCACAATGGGGGCGATTGGATAGCATAGTGGTTAAAGCTTTCGCTCTTCACACCGAAGACCCGGGTCACACCCAAGTGAAGCCCATTTCTAGCGTTCCTCGCCATGAGCTTTCTCGTATATTGCTAAAAGCGGCGTAAAAGTTTATTCACTCAGACGTCCATGCTGCTTATGAATAATGAAAGGAACATCTCTTGAGGTTACTGATCGCGAAGTCGGCAAGCTGCTGAAACAGGTGAGTGATGGGATTACGACCAGCGTCCTAGACCATTAGCAGAACAGGTGTGTCAACATACTCCGAATAATCTGAAAACTTGGGTGTCTAAAAAATGGGGTATTGGTCCCATTGTTGAATTTAAATAGATAGATGTTACGTTGCATAACACCATGACTCAAACCAGTAAACACCGTCCTTTCTCCATCAGCTCCTGTCAAAATGTAGACCGAGACGAGATCACGTGACGAAGGTCAGCACTTTTACGATGCAGTACAATCCCGTATTCTCATTCAACGCGTCTGTGCAAGAGAGGTCGAAGATGTTGCTGCTAGTGGCCCTTCTGTTTTTATCCAGTGTCAACGTGCTGGAGGGGAGGTGTTGTGCCCCTAGACAGTGGGAAGGGTGGGGGGTGAGGCTCGGGGGACAAATGGCCGGAGCCACCCACGAGAGACCGGAGCTGATAAAGGTAAGTACCGTTCATCGTATTCAAACACAAGTTATATTCCAGTAGATAGTGTCACTTAGAATGAGGTTGCGTAAACATTTCAAAACTAGTAGAGATGACCACATTTTACAGACCAGGTATAATGTATGCAATAATATCGGTATCTCTGAGCTGAGATCACCCCACCACGTGCAGGCGACGTTGTGCGACCGCAGTGTGATGGACCTGTGACCAGCATCCGTTTTCGTGTATTATAAAACATCAGAATGACGGCGCTATCACAGAACAACTAACTGATTGTAAACCGATTTTATTAAGCTTGCGAAATAAAACCCAAAACATTATGCATGAGCCAAGGTCGTTTCGATATGTATACAATTTTAGGATTGGGTGTGTGTTATCCGATTGAAACAGTGCATATATTCTCAGAATTTAGCAGCATTCCTGCAATTCCTGAAGGGCACATCAGGAATGAGCTTCGCACACATGCGGGAAGTCCAACCGTACGAGCGAACACTTTAACCTTTAGGCTACCCACCACGCCACCCGAAAATATTGCCCGGAAGACGGGTTTCTGGATTCACGGGGTTTGAGTGTTTTGGATGTTGGACGTTTACGACGACTGGTAGTTGGAGCTTAGAGATAAGTTCCGTAACACCCAACCCCAACCTACATTAAAACCCATCTGCTCATACACCATGTCCATGTTAACGAGGCTCATATCAATTCGGATCAATTCGCGACATAAACTAGCAACTGTTCGTGATAAAAGTGTACTCTTCGACATAAACGTGAAGTCTGCTTTTCTTTCCTAACCCTTCCATTGCGAATGTCAGTATTAACGTGGCCCGGGACATAAAACTGATGGTCGGAGTAACAACCGACCAACATAACCAGCCGCCGACTTGATTGAATAAAAACATACACACATAGTTCAAGGAAAACGAGATGTCGTCTCATCCAAACGTGCAACTCAGTGCGAGCTTTCTATCGTGTGACCGCCCGTCAGTCAACGGAGCGTGTCAAGAGTATCACCAGGAGAGCTCTTTCATCAGAATTGGGGTTGTAAAGCAGGACGGGGCAGCCGGCTGGTTGTCGCAATGGGACTTGTCAGCTGGGATTTACATAATAGCGGTATAATGTCAACGTGTGCGATATGCCGGCTGAACACCATATCTCCCCATACAAACAATAAACCATTGTTAGTGTGCAGTCTCACTTGCCATGGTCCCTGTTCAATATTTTTGCAGATATACTCAGTGAACCAGCATTAAAGCGAACACTCTTTTGTAGAACTAACGGATATACCGAACTGTTGTATATTCCCGCCGTGAAAAAATAGCTTTACAGTGTCTTACTAAACTATATTCAAATGAGTCCAACCATGCATATAACTGTGTCCTCGGTCCCCTTTTTGAGGATTGTGTAGCAGGACATCTTCTCTTGTTCCGCCTTTAGGACTAAGAGTCAAACCTTTACTTTCTGTTGCTGGCATTGAGCTGGAAAATATATCTCCTTCCCGAATTCTTTCTTCTCCTCCTTGTCAGCTAGCGAGGCCACAAGTTGACCTAACACTGACAACATTTAATAAATCAGAAACTAATGAATTACACTTTGAACAAGAATATAATCAATTAAAAAATAAATATAATACATATAAATGCTTATTTACAGATCGGTCCAAGGATGGTGGCGAAGTGGCATGTGCCACTGTCATTGAATCATTGGATCATTGGATGCTGTTATCTCGATTGCCGGATAACAGCACTATTTTTAGAGCATGGGCAAACGCCATATTAACGGCTCTTAAATATATTACAAACACCCTAAATGTAAACAATATATCATCTTTTCAGACTCTCTTTCGTGCCTGCAAGCATCCACTTTTAATTGAAATTATTGAGTTATATAATGATCTTACTACTGGCCAATTCGACATCGTCTCTTGTTGGTTGCCCAGCCATGTTGGCATTTCTGGGAACACAATGGCCGATCTTGCTGCTAACTCAGCACTCAATAAATGTGACAGAACTTCTGATCCCATACTCTGATTGTGAAGCTAACATAAGATTTTACATCCGTGATCTGATGCAAGCAGGTATAAAAAAATGCATGAAATAAAGCCAACTATCGGTTACACTTACTTGGGCTGTCTACTTGATTTGAAGAGGTCATTATGCGACGATGTCGCATTGGCCATACGCATTATACTCACAAATACCTGTTAAAAGGTGAAGATCCTCCGTTTTGTATCCCCTGTGATGAGAGAGGATAAACATGTCAATGTCACACCTGTAAAGGATCTCTTTTACTAAGGTTAATTTTTAATCTAATTATTGTTTGCTTTTTTGAAGGAAATTGATATAATTGATCAATGTTGATTAATATGGTTTGTAGATAGATGTACTTTAATGACTGGTAGGTTAGATTAGAAACTTAGATTGTTAATTGCTTTATCCTTAAGCGGGGTTAAAGTATTGTCAAATTAATGTCCTCCTAGGAGGGTACGTAAGTCTCGAAACATTCAAAGGAAATTTAGATTTACCAGATTTTTTAAGTGCAGCACTTTGGCCATAGTAATTTTGGCTGAATTTGACTTCAATCGCCATCTACTGAAGAGTTGATTTAAATCCAGCTAGAGTCAACGCAGGTAGTAAAAGTACTGTAGGTTCCCATGGTCCCTAGTAAGGTGATCAGCCTTCAGTTGCAGGTCATCTATAGCCCGTTTATATTTTGTACTGTAGTCTATAGTGACTTATTTTCATGATAGCGTACTAGTTTTAAATTAAGAACTGTGATACTGTAGTACTTTTACTGTACTTCGATGACAGGTTTTTATCTAAAGTTATAGCTTTTAATATTGATATCAATTAAATTGTTAAATTGATTAATAACGATGTGGCCGAAATATTGACTCCCACACTCCCTGCTGCATGTTCCAGGACACTTTCTGTACATTGTATCGAAATATGTGCTTACGGTTGTACCGAACAACTCTAAACTACGTTCAACCTAACATTAGTCATCCCTTTCTATTCGTTATAACCGTACTTTAACGTATTGTACACGAATAATGCCTATCACCGAGAGGGTTCACGTTAACTTTAACGTATTGTACACGACTAATGCCTATCACCGAGATGGTTCACGTTAACGTTAACGTGTTGTACGCGACTAATGCCTATCACCGAGAGGGTTCACGTTAACGTTAACGTGTTGTACGCGACTAATGCCTATCACCGAGAGGGTTCACGTTAACGTTAACGTATTGTACACGACTAAGGCCTATCACCGACAGGGTTCACGTTAACGTTAACGTATTTTACACGACTAATGCCTATCACCGAGAGGGTTCACGTTTACGTTAACGTATTGTACACGACTAATGCCTGTCACCGAGAGGGTTCACGTTAACGTTAACGCATTGTACGCGACTAATGCCTATCACCGAGAGGGTTCACGTTAACGTTAACGTATTGTACGCGACTAATGCCTATCACCGAGAGGGTTCACGTTAACGTTAACGCATTGTACGCGACTAATGCCTATCACCGAGAGGGTTCACGTTAACGTTAACGTATTGTACGCGACTAATGCCTATCACCGAGAGGGTTCACGTTAACGTTAACGCATTGTACGCGACTAATGCCTATCACCGAGTTGGTTCACGTTAACGTTAACGTATTGTACACGACTAATGCCTATCACCGAGATGGTTCACGTTAACGTATTGTACACGACTAATGCCCATCACCGAGTTGGTTCACGTTAACGTTAACGTATTGTACACGACTAATGCCCATCACCGAGTTGGTTCACGTTAACGTTAACGTATTGTACACGACTAATGCCTATCACCGAGAGGGTTCACGTTAACGTTAACGTATTGTACACGACTAATGCCTATCACCGAGATGGTTCACGTTAACGTTAACGTATTGTACACGACTAATGCCTATCACCGAGAGGGTTCACGTTAACGTTAACGTATTGTACACGACTAATGCCTATCACCGAGAGGGTTCACGTTAACGTTAACGTATTGTACACGACTAATGCCTGTCACCGAGATGGTTCACGTTAACGTTTACGTATTGTACACGACTAATGCCTATCACCGAGAGGGTTCACGTTAACGTTAACGCATTGTACACGACTAATGCCTCTCACCGAGAGGGTTCACGTTAACGTTAACGTATTGTACACGACTAATGCCTATCACCGAGATGGTTCACGTTAACGTTAACGTATTGTACGCGACTAATGCCTATCACCGAGTTGGTTCACGTTAACGTTAACGTATTGTACACGACTAATGCCTATCACCGAGAGGGTTCAGGTTAACGTTGACGTATTGTACGCGACTAATGCCTATCACCGAGTTGGTTCACGTTAACGTTAACGTATTGTACACGACTAATGCTCATCATCGAGATGGTTCACGTTAACGTTAACGTATTGTACACGACTAATGCCTGTCACCGAGAGGGTTCACGTTAACGTTAACGTATTGTACACGACTAATGCCTCTCACCGAGATGGTTCACGTTAACGTTAACGTATTGTACACGACTAATGCCTATCACCGAGTTGGTTCACGTTAACGTTAACGTATTGTACACGACTAATGCTCATCACCGAGATGGTTCACGTTAACGTTAACGTATTGTACACGACTAATGCCTGTCACCGAGATGGTTCACGTTAACGTTAACGTATTGTACACGACTAATGCCTATCACCGAGAGGGTTCACGTTAACGTTAACGTATTGTACACGACTAAGGCCTATCACCGAGATGGTTCACGTTAACGTTAACGTATTGTACACGACTAATGCCTATCACCGAGATGGTTCACGTTAACGTTAACGTATTGTACACGACTAAGGCCTATCACCGAGATGGTTCACGTTAACGTTAACGTATTGTACACGACTAAGGCCTATCACCGAGAGGGTTCACGTTAACGTTAACGTGTTGTACGCGACTAATGCCTGTCACCGAGATGGTTCACGTTAAC